AAACCTGGAATTGCAGTTACTAGCAGAATTATCTTCATTGTTACCATAAATCTCGCTACCAATGGTGATTAAATCTAAAGATCGGTTAGCTCATATCACATCAAACCGTTCAAATCATTATTATTGTTATACTTTATTCCCAGATTATTAATGTTAACAACATAAGTATAAGTCATTATAATCCATAATTATGTCCCCACTGGATGCAACGAATGCTTCGTTTATAATGGGTTTTATTGTTTTTGATTCATCGCTCCGGCCTGACAGGGCATCAATATGGCAAGGGGTTCAGAAGCACATTTAAAACTGGAATATAATTTAATTTCATTCACACGTGTTTCATATAATCCTTTCTGTATTACAATCCGTCATCAAAATGATTTTTTGACATTTAATTATTCTAGCTGCTGTGAGAAAAGGCTATAAATGATCGCCCACCCTGCAGGATCCTCACATGCGATAATTTAGTAGCCGGGACAACTTCTTTATGTTTACAGACGTGACGTAATGACGCAGCAGCATGCTCGAATTTCCCACGAAAACCTACCCGTACCACTCAAATTAGAAAACATTATTATAAGCTAACCGTTGTGAATCGGGCTAAAGTAAGGCAATAGTTTTGAACACTGGCTGGTTATGCACTTGCTCAAATATTGATTTTGGATCATTTTTAACCAAAAAAAGTTACGGACTGCAGCTTTAAATACAAGTTGAGCATTCTTTTTTCTATTTTTTTTCTTCACCGATTTGGTACTTAATAATACCAGTATTTCTGACATCCCTCAGTGCTCCACACATCATAGAAATTGTAGAATAAGACTGAAACACAAATACCTTCATCTTGAGTTCACTCTCTGTGCTGGTGGAATGAGATGTCTGAAGATTTTGGTACCTCTGACTGACATCCTGGAACTTTCTATTAGCAACAGATGAAAAACAACACAGTGCATATGTATTTATTAGAGGGTATGAGGAAAATAGTGTACATTTGTGTATGTGTGAATTCATACTTGCGCTGCACATCCAGTTGTTCCTGCAGGGCCTGGATCTCCAGGTTCTGGGTGGAGAATTTGGACTCCTGAATCTGGATCTGTTGATTGAGCCTTCGTGTCTCATCTTTCAACTCACTGATCATCTGCAACATGAAAAGAATTTAACTTAATTAAACAATTGCAATCCATAACGGTATTAACAGAAAAATAATAGTTAAAAAAGGATTTAAACTAAATCATATTTGTAAACAATGATTGCCATACAGTTGTTTTCTTTTTTTGTGAATGTACAACACTTTAAAAGTTCCCGCTAAGTGAGATTTGTTTTTAAAAATCTTAATTCAGCAAGGACGTATTAGTTTAATCATAAGTGGCAGTAAAGACACTTATGTTACATAATATTTCTGTTTTTTCAAATAAATGCTGTACTTTTTATTCAAAGAATCCCCAAACAAATTTCACAAAAAAAAAAAAAAAAAATATCTTAAGTATGATGTGTTTTTTGAGCAACAAATAAGCATATTAGCATATCATGTGTCTCTGGAGACTTGAGTAATGGCTGCTGAAAATTCAATATTTAAAAAAATAGAAGTTATTTTAAATTGTAATATTATTTTACCATTTCTCCCCCAGTTTTTCTGTGTTGTTTTTTAAAAATAAACGCAAACTCGACCCCAAACCTTTGAGATTTGATGTATATACATGTGTATTAAGTTATCAGTCACATAGCTAGAAGTCTCCGTGCAGAGCGTCTGCTGCATGAAACGGTAACAATTATGCCATTCCACATTGCCCCTATAAAATAAAATTAAATATGATTGCTTGTTTTATTGCCAGTTTTGTTGTCCAATAAAATACTAACAAGGATTGCACTTGTAAGTAGCAAACCACGGCTACTGGCTATTAAAAGCAACTACAACCATTGATATTTTACTCTAATCTCACGTTTCAATGAAAAAAAAAAAATCACATTATAATAGTTCATCAATCAATTTCATGGGAGCATTTTTTCATCTTTTTACAAACACTAATACAAAAGACACATAAACACACACCTGGTCTGCCTCAGCAAGTTTGCTGTCTTTTTCATTGGCTTTCTTGTGGAGTTCCTCGAAGTTACGCTTTAAAGCCTTGTTGTTTTCCATTTGTTCATTAAGAGCTTGATTTGCTTTCTCTTCTCTTTCTTCCAGACGTCTGATCTGCAACAGTAACTCCCTGTTACGGTCAATTTCCCTCTGCAAATGTGATCAGACAAGACACATACATACACAAACACAGGTCAAATTAGGTTTTTCACAGCAAAGACTGGACAATCTTGCCTTGAATGCACCAAATCACATCCTAATGGATTTTGTCTAAAGTGTTTCTCACACCCTGTTTTAGGCTGCAATTTTTTTATATTGAGGAATACGTTTAGAAAATGGAAGTAAGAAAAGAAAATCCAACAGAACCCATGATTTACAGCACTATGCCACCTATCACTCACCTGTAAGTCTCTGGAGCTGCTGTTTGCCTCTTTCTCCAGCTCTATACGGGCCCGTTTGTGACTGAGTTCCATCTGTTGTTTCTCTTGAGTGAGCTGCAGCAGGCTAGTGTGAGAACGGACTCGCTCTGCAGCCTCCTCCAACTACCACACACAACAACAAAATTCAATAATTTGCTCTACACATACTATATTAAAGGAATAGTTCACCCAAAAAAATTGAAATTTTCTCATCCTCAGGACATTCAAGATGTAGATGAGTTTTGTAGATGGAGAAATTTAGTATTACATCACTTGCTCACCAATGGATCCTCTGCAGTGAATGGGTGCCGTCAGAATGAGAGTCCAAACAGCTGATAAAAACACCACAATTCTCCACAAGTAATCCACACGACTCCAGTCTATCAATTAATGTATTGGGAAGCGGAAAAAAGCATGTTTGTAAGAAACAAATCCATCATTAATGGTATTTTAACTTTAAACCATTGCTTCTGGCCAAAATATGACTCTACAATCCATAATAAAGCTAACTTGAAAAGTTAGAACTGTTTTGGACTTTTGCTTGCAAACCATGCTTGATCTGTGCATATTTCTCTCCTGATTCAGACAAGATGACTTTTGCACTGGAGAAAGCAATATTATAGACAGAACATATAACGGATAGAAGACTAGTATTTTTGTAAGATTTTTAACGTTTTAACATTTTAATGACTTAATTTTTCACTTCACAAAATGTTAATTGATTGACTGGAGTTGTGAGGATTACTTGTGGATAGCTGTGATGTTTTCATTAGCTGTTGGGACTCTCATTCTGACGGCACCCATTCACTGCATTGGCGAGCAAGTGTTGAAAATGCTAAATTTCTCCAAAACCGTTCCGAACTGATCTACATCTTGGATGGCCTGAGAGTGAGTAAATGTTTAGCCAATTTTCATTTTTGGGTGAACTATTCCTTTAAGAGACATACTGCATATTTATGAGATCATGGAATTGAAATTTAGATACTTCCGTAAAAATGAGGGCTAAAATGTGAAAGGAGTCTGTGACTTGCCTCCACTCTTTTAGTATAGAGATTCTGAAGGCCACTTCTTCCAAAGCCTGGCTCAGTCTCCAGTAAAGAGCGATCTGGACATGATATCAAACTCTTGAAAGATTTTAGCGTTGAGAAGATTGTGGTGTCATCCTCCATATCATCCATATTGACAATGTCTTGACAGCCTCCTCTGCTGAGTTAGGAAAAATGTCATTATATAAAAGTGTAAAAAGCCATTAATAAACCTCCTCAATTCCCTCAAGAAACCTACTGCTCAAACCAAAAATTAAACAATACATGTAAAATATGGTCAATTCAGTTTAAAGTAGTAAGCATGCATCTGTACCCCATTTGGATGCTATTAACATGTAAGCAGTTTATTATTGAAATATTGAAAAATATAAGTACATCTGACATCATATGATGAAGAATAAGATGTATTTCAATAATTCTCAAAGAATATGTTTCCTTATTTTAAAAATACGCCAAAATATAGCCTTCTCTAGTATGGTCCCACTGTCCCACAGCACTTAACAAGAATTTTCATATTTTGTTAAAAGTTAAATAAGGGGTCTGATGTAGTAAAAAAAAAAAAAAGACACTTGAC